GTATGTATGTATATATATATATATATATATACTGTGGATGTGGGGGTGGGGGGGGGGGTTGGGGTAGACGCGTATGAATTCCCCCTCCTCATCAAATTTGTCACGCACAATGCTTGCAGAATTTAATATCTCAAGCTACACATTATCTTTCTACCAAAGCCACTCGTGTCTCAATTTATAGTCTTTGATTATTTTGAAAGTATATGGAAATATCTACAAATAAATGAAAACAAAAAAAAAGTATGAATATATTATTATATCAAATGATAGGCGAACATATTTTAAAGAAAAAAACAATTTGATTTACTTATTTTAATATTTCACCTTTGATTGATTTTCGAAGAATGCAACATTCTTCAACACGAGTATTAATGTACATTGTCTTAGGAGTAAGTAGGTGACGAAGTTTATTCGTCTAAAAGTTGTTCTTCTCGAATTTTTACCAAATTTTGGAAGTAATTATAAATAAAATTTATTCATTCTGAATTAGATTGTTCACATAACTTCTTAGGTTAATAGTTAGTACTTTTTAACTTAAAATAGAATATATACATGACGAGAACATGATCCATCCGTGTAAAGAGTGAATATGAAGTCACCAATGACATATCCCATATTAAGAAAAAAAGGATGAACCCGGTATCAGAGTAATAGAGTAAAGAATACTACGATCAAATCAGACTGGTTTAGAACCAATTGAAGAGAACATGGTCTTATTTTGACCTTTTGTAAATTTGATATTTGGACCTTGTTATTATAGAACTAAAAAATACTTTAATAAATTATTGGCCGCTAATTAATACCGAGTACATTAAAGGATTTCACATTTCCTAACAGAAAACTATTAAAATATTCTCTGACCATGCATTTATAAAAAAAATCAAATAATTATGAAGCACTCAGTCTTTATGTGGAATAAGAGACTATTTGGAATGAGACACTATTTTTTTTGTGAGAAAGTAAATAGTTACAAATTCAAAGAAAATTTAGTATTTTAAAGAAAAACTAAATGAATATTCAAAGAAAAAATGTTCACATTTTTAAAAAATTTGCATAAGCTAACAAGTAACAAAGATTGAAGTGAATTTGATTTTCGAAAAAGTAAATGATTATTCTCTTTGTAGCGTGCATCAATAGAATAACTATGATCCATAATAAACTCAACCTTCTCTACGAGTTCCAGAGATTTGGAACCATGTGTGATTAAAGTTCTCCGGCGCCCTTAGTGCTGAGCCACCACGATAGTTGATGTTCTTAGAATTGATGCAATTTAATTTAAAAATATTCTCTCATTCGTGTATAACTATTGATTATTATTTTTAAATACATTATATTTTGAATGAGTGATATAAAAATTATGTCGATATTAATTTACATTTTAATATTTTTTTAAAGTCATATTAGAAAATATTTTATCAAATGAAACATATATGCACTGTTGATTTTTCTGCAATCATGTCCTTGGGTCTAATTCTGGCACTACTTTTGGTGCAAAACAAAATTTTTGATTGGATTTTATGGTACTCCGTAATTCGTATAACAAAATAACGATTTGACACTGATCATTTTAATTAATTCTTTTCGGGGACTTTAATTAAGTTTATTATAGAAGAATAATGAGAGGAAATTTTAAAATCTTCACCACTAGAAAATGTCTAGTGGTGGATTCAGATTGATATTGTTGACATGGTCAATTGGTCATTACAAACAAAGATATGCCCCTCACTCCCAATTAGCTAATTTTAACCGAACTTTATCGATCTGACTATATAAAACAAAATGTGAGATGACTATATTATTTTATCAAATGAGTATTAAAATTGCACAATGAAAACGGTTAAAACTTTAGTCTATGAGTAATGAAGAGTCAATTTAAATTGGGGTAAAAATAACAAAAAAAAATTGACTGTTTAAATAGTGCAACTAAAATAAACCTAAGCTTTAGAAAATTGATCTAAAGCTCTGTACACTTTGGATTGTAATTCCAAACTTTCAATATTTGTCAATTCTTTCCAATTTTGTTTATAGCATTCTGTATTTTCAATCTAAAAGAAAAAGAAGAGAACCTAAGAATAGAGACTTGAAATGACACATAATTATTAAGGTTGTGTGTGTGGGTATGTGGGACAATGAATATTATGAAGATTGTCAAACCTGATTACGATGATGATTAATGCATAATGACAGCTACATCTTGGGCATTGGCTTAATTTCAAAGCTTCATTTACCAAATGCACCCAATCTTTGAACACCATTTATTACACATATTCACAATAAAAATATACAATTTTTTTTTACAAAAAAAAAAATCAACATCAAATCTACAAGAACCAAAATTTGGAAATACAAAAAGATGAAAAACACATATAAGACGAACCAAAATCGTGTCGTGTGCCCTTCACTTCCCAAGCAGATGACGGGCGCGTTGATTGGCGCCCTTCACCCGCGAGTTCAGTTCATCCACGTCCATGTCGAGATGGTCCAAAGCTTTGTTTTGCCTATAATTCATCGCGGAGCCGTTAGAAAGTAACATTCATAATCAGCGTTTAAAGTTTTGAATACTCCCTCCGTCCCACTCTCTTTGTCCACTTACCTTTTGGCACACCATCCAATGCACTTCTTTAATCCATTTTATCTTGTAATTTGTATATTAAAAAATTATAGAAATTATATATTAATAATCTATATGTTAAGACAAATCAAACAAGATCACACATGACTATATTTAGGCTTACACATTGAGAGAATTTGATGAGTCAAAGTGTTTAGATAAACAGTTCCAAAAGTCAAAAGTGAACAAAGAGAGTGGGACGGAGGTAGTAATTAACTGATAGAATTTAGGATTAGGTTGAGATAACTGNGTCGAGATGGTCCAAAGCTTTGTTTTGCCTATAATTCATCGCGGAGCCGTTAGAAAGTAACATTCATAATCAGCGTTTAAAGTTTTGAATACTCCCTCCGTCCCACTCTCTTTGTCCACTTACCTTTTGGCACACCATCCAATGCACTTCTTTAATCCATTTTATCTTGTAATTTGTATATTAAAAAATTATAGAAATTATATATTAATAATCTATATGTTAAGACAAATCAAACAAGATCACACATGACTATATTTAGGCTTACACATTGAGAGAATTTGATGAGTCAAAGTGTTTAGATAAACAGTTCCAAAAGTCAAAAGTGAACAAAGAGAGTGGGACGGAGGTAGTAATTAACTGATAGAATTTAGGATTAGGTTGAGATAACTGGATTGGACAATAAGACACTTGGGCTGAACCACATTAAAAGATTGAATTCAATCAATTAGTTAGTTCAACTCAAGAGCTTATATACTGATTATTTTACTCTTGGACTTCCGATGTGGGATGCACTCTAACATTAACGTGTAAGAGCTGTCGTTGGATAGTTTTTTGCAAAAGGTTGAAGGTCAATGCTAAGACCTTGTTTGGAAACATCGTTTTGAAAACACTAAAGATAAATGCGCTGATGCTCTTGCCAAACAAGGACTAGATGTGATGTTGTTGATGGCTAACCTGTCAAGTTCAGTGCCCATTTCAGTGGCCATTCCCTTGAGTTCACCCAATATGTTGCTGAGGTCGGAGAGCGCGTCGTCTTGCTTTGCCTTCTCCATCTCTACTTTCTGCAATGCGTTCGTGGGTTCGCACGGAGGTGTTGCGGGAGCTGATTTCCCCTTATTCCCATTTAACCCCAACTTCTCCCTTTGCTCTTTCCTACTCTGCTTTGCTTTGTAGTTATTGTCATCTGAAAATGCACATATAAAACAAGTATAACAAACAAAAAAGTCATTCCCCCCAATTTGATATTTTACTATCTGTCTTCAGTGCAACACTTTGACCGTCATAAAAAAGAAGGAAAAAACACACACCTCTGGAAGTCAAAGGCCCAGAGATCTCCTTAGTCTTCTTTGGCTTCCATGGCTTAGAGAACATGCCCCCAAGACTATTCAACAACTTCTCCCCCTGCAATGTACATTTATCTTACACTTGCCACAATCGATTACAAACAACCCGTGGCGGAGGCAGGATTGCGTTCTAGAGGGCCCCACCACACAGAAACCGTCTTGGGGTGGGGCGGGAGGGGGGGGGGCGTACCCTCGTAGAGGGCACGTACCCTGTTGTTCCCCCCTGCCTCCGCCACTACAAACAATAAGCGGTGTTCGAAAACTTCTAACTAGACCGACCCCGACCGTGGGGCCCTCGACACAAGAGTGGGACCAGGCACGGGCGAACCTTGCTCAAATCGCGGTCCATCTCGACAGCCATCTCATGGATCCTATGGATCTGCTCCCCTTGCTGGTGCAGCATCTCCAGCGTCCTAGACCCGTCCTGCCGGATGTCCTCCGCAATCTTCAGGCAATTGCTGACGGTGTTAGTGGTCTCTTCTGCCCGGTTCACGGCGTAGTTCTCCAGCTCTTGCACGGACATGCTCTCTAGTGCCGGTTCAGAAGACGTCCTCCTCCCTGCCGTTATCCCACCACCGCCATTTTTCTCCTCGGAACCTGCACTCGTGGACCCCCCTGGCGCCGGGGGCTTTCTCCCAAACCCAAACATTGATTTCGAGAATAACTATCCTACCTGAAAGTCCCATGGGATTTCAAGAAATTTAACCAAACCCTATATGTGAAATTTCAAAGCAAAAAACAGTAAATTCCAAGAATATAACAGCATACATGAATCCTGTATGGATGAATCAACGAAGAATCGATGCTCCAACAAGAAATTTGGCCAAAACCCAGCAATAAAAAACCTGTCTTTGGTGCAAACATCAAGAAAAAAAAGTCAAGATTTGGGAATTACTTCCACAAAATTCATTTTTTTTTCGAAAAAGAAAAGTTGATGTCCGTGGCAACTTTTGAGAAAACCTCTTACCTCTGAATCTGAAGCACGCCCGGAGAAAGATCGGTGAGAGATTGAGAGAGAAGGTTTGTGGAATGGTTCTTTGGTTATCTTTCCCTCTCATTTCTGATTGAAGGTGCCGCGATAACCCAGGCCTTCATAACCGTCCGAGGCCTTTTTTAGTTTTTTCTTTCTCCCTTTTTTTCTTGATCAAAGTGTAAAACTTTAGATTTTTTAAATGTTCTAATCAAATTAATACTTCGTCCTATCTCCTGGTTCACAGTTCTCATGACTAAATTTTTATAAAAAATTATATTAAATAGAATAAAATATAGAGAATGTACCAAAATAAGAGTTTTATGTTTTAATTCTCAAAATAGAATTCTCAAAATAGAAGTATATATTGTGATAATATAACACTGTACATGTACACTTTACAATACTTTTTGAATTATATATTGACATTATTGACATTGTATATGCATTATAGCTTTTATTTAAAGAATAAAATACAGAATTTTTATTTTACTATATTTTCTATATTTTACTCTTACTTTAGTTTTTTTTTAATTTTTTTGAGGAAAAAAATTAACAAAATTCATTAATAAATCACCATAGATGATACAAACTCGGGAGAGGTAGAAACCCCGAGAGAGCACTCGGTTCTCGCTCGCCTACCAAGAGTATGAGCCACAAAATAGAACTAGAAGAAAAACTATCTAATAATCAGGAGGGATAGAAAGTAACGAAGACTAGGGTTATTTTATTTATTTTTGGTTCATATTGATATTCTAATAAATTAAATTACATTAAGGATCCGTTTGGTATATGGAATTGATGGAATTGGAATTGAATTTGAATTGAAATTCCATGAGATTCAATTCCATAGAATTTAATTCACCAATTCCAATTCATTTTTTGCACTATCAATTCTAAATCCACATAATTTTTGTGCTACCAAACACCAAAATTGGAATTGAAGTCCTCAATTCCAATTCCATAGTTTGAATTCCGTGTACCAAACGGGGCCTAATTAATTTTGATGATAAATTTCTCATTTATTCATTCATCATTTTTTAGTATAATATATCAAACCGTTTGTTTCACTTAAAAATATACACCCACTAAATAACGGTCAAAAATATGAGTGAACCCACCAATTGCCAAATTTTCAAAGCCATGTTAGTCAAAAAGAACGTACGGAGGAGGATTATAAATTCCTATGGAGTATTAAAACGCCAAACTCATTTAAAAGCATTGAATATACAAACTTAAAAGAGTTGATCAAAACTTCATTCATGGATTGGGTACATTGACCACCAAAATGTGCCATTTCTTTCTCACCTTCCACGTGTCTGCCATGTCAGCTGCCAACGTGTTCAGTTTGGCTCACAGTTCACTCCACTGTCCAAATGGATGCCAAGCCAAACCAAAATGGTTGACAAATGACATAACAAAAGAATAACATTCAAAATGAATAAAAACTATAGTGAATTGAAGAGCTTCAATTGAGATGAACAAAAGAATTATGAACCAGTTTTGGGTTGTTAATTGTCTATGCAATTAACAAGTGACTATGACAAAATGTTATTATCTGCAGAAATACATAAAACAAAAAGGAAATGGATGAACTCATCATCATCAAACAATGACAAAAAGAGGGATTCTTGGGCATGAAAAATCTGCAAAACAAACAAAAAAAAACCATTCTTCCTCATTGTTATTATGAGGCTACCAAGACATCAACGGCTCATCTTCGTCGTCCTCAACCGGGGCAGGGAGATTAAGATCAAGCAAATCCGGTGCTTCTTCTTCTTCTTCCTCGTCTTTTTTGGCAGAAGGTGAAGCCTGGTTTGAAGCATTGATGACCTGAGAAGAACCACCAAGGAAATGTGACCTTTTGTGGCCACCTAAAGCTTGTCCGGACTTGAACACCCTATTGCAGAAAGGGCATTCGTGACCTTTCGCTTTCTTGAACTTAACACTCTTCTCCGGTGACGAATCCTTAACAGCATTTCCTCTTTTGCCAACCAAACGCTCCCTTATCGCATCATCGCCCTCTAAGCTGTTTTCGCCCGTCCCATAACCCGATTCCCTATCTGCATTGATCTTCTTGTGGCAAGGCCTATGACCACCTAAAGCCTGATAAGAGGTAAAACACTTCTTGCAATTCAAGCACTCATACTTCTTGTTAGCACCCGAAGACGAGACGATTTTACCCTTCTTGTACTCCCTGCTCTCTCTGTTAGGATCATAAGAAGTGTCATTGTTATATGTTCTCTTCTGCTTCCCAGATTTCCTTGATGCCAATGCAGAATCATCATACCCATAATCATAATAAGTGCCTCTTATTCTGTTGACAGAAATCTCCGATTCGCCCTTGTTTTCTCCTAAGAAGTACTCGGAATCCGAACTATGGGAATTTTCTTGTACCATATCAATGCTGGACTTGAGATTCTTCTTATCTCCTTCAACTTTCTTGGGAGTATTAAGAAAAATGCCATCTTTCTTAGACCTCTTCATGTCAATGGATGATGATTTAGTAGTAGTCTCTAAGACCACAGAATTATTGTCAGAGAACTCTACAACTGATGAATTATTATTAGTGTTATTATTAACAGCAACAAAGCCATTCCACTGGCCAGAATCTTTAGACAACATCACCAAACACTTTGCAATTTCTTCCTGTTCTTGAAAATCAATTTCAGAAACTGATGATGAACCACCAACACTGTTGGTGTTATTATTATTGTTATTATTGGCATTGTATTTGATGACAATTTTCTTGTGCCTCTTGGGATTTGCTGATCTGTCCCTCCGTGGGATCTGTTTTTCCTCGGTCTGATCCTCGGAATCCGAATCGCTTTCGATTTGGGACCAAGATTGATCATCATCATTGTCCTTATTAACACCACCACCACCTTTGTCTTTGTCAGAATGGCAAGCCATATGGCCACACAAGGCTTTAAGGGATTGGAAGACCTTGCCACATTGCTTGCAGGCCTTCTCTTCTGATTGAACAAGGGTAGTGGACCCCACCGAAGCCCTCCAAGTCTTCTTGGGATTCTCTCTGAGCCCAAATCTTGATGATGGCTGGTGATGAAGCTTCTCCTCCTCCCCAACAAAATCAGCTGAATTTGGAACCACATGAGACCTCATGTGCCCTCCCAATGACTTCCCACAAGGGTACCTCTTGTTACACTGCTTGCACACAAACTTCAACTCTTGATGAAAATGATGATGATCCTCCATCCCAGAAGAACTCCCAAACTAACCCTGAACTCAAACCACAGAAAAAAAATTGAAATTCAGCAACAAAAGATAAAAACACTTGGGAAATTGAATTCGAGAAAAAGGTCGAATCTTGGGAACAGTGAAAGATTTCTTGATCCACTAGAGACACTTACAGAAGAAGCCCCAGATCAGACCTAAGCTCAAATCTGGAATCCACGCCTCAGATCACTGGTCAGATTTGGAAACATTTTCTTGAAATCAAAGCAAAAGATCTCATGAGACCCACTTTTTCCTCCAGAACAAATGCCAAGAAGTTCAAGAATCAAACGCAGTAAAAAGCAAAACTGATCAAATGGAGTAGTGGTAACAAGAAAGAAAGAAAGGAAAAAAAAAAGAAACTTTCAGAGTTTATTTCATCCCCACTCAATCTCTCTCACATCTTACTCCTTGTTTGGGATGGATGTTAGAGTTGGAGGAGAAAGAATTCCATGCAGGAAAGCAAAATAAAGAAGAGAAAAAGAAGAGCAACACGTGTAGTCTCAAGAGGATCGTTCGTTATTCCTAATCAGACGGCCAAGATCTGCTTACCCATTGGTGAAATTTTGATTGTGAAAACAAGAGAAATGAAAAAGAAAAAAGATTGGGGATAATTTTGGTACATAGTCCATATAGTGCATAGGAAAGGAAAAAAATTTAAAGAAAAAGTATAAAAGACATGCCAAAGTTTCTCATTTGTCTCTGTTCAATTGGTTAGTCACACCCATCAAAGGTCCGAATCTTCAGCCGTTATTGCTCTCTTAACTTCCCAACAAAAAAGCTAAAAGAGAAACAACTAAAAAAGTCAAGATTTTTTTTTTTTAAATACTAAATATTACAAGCCCCCACCTAAAACAAATGGACTTCGATGCTCCTAGTGCATTCCCACATACCCAACAATATTGTTTGGTTCTTCAATAAAAAACAATATTGTTTGGAACTTGGTTTGGTTTATAAGTGTAAAAATAAAGGTATACTCGTGTTTGAGTTTGACTTCTGTCAACGTCGAAAATAAAATTATGCATAGCATAAGGTTCTTACACATATAAGGACATATTTTACTTTATAGTAGTCTTAACCTCATTCATCGCACGGGCTCATATACATTCTAAATTTTTGACATTTTATAAATATAAATTATTTATTTTAGTTTTCTAATGGTGACATAATATGTGCTACATGAGTTTTTTTAACTTTAAGGTATATATTTTTTAAATGAAAATTATACTTTAAATATTGATGTACATGCATTAAAGTCCTATATGTAATTTATTTAAAAGTAGTAAAAGAGAAATGATCAATTTTTTTAAAAAATCATATGGAACTTTATTTTTTAAAACATCAATAAACTTTATATAATCATTTTTTCAGAAATAATAAACTAAAATAAATAGTGGATAGTATGAAAATAATATAATATAAAATGAATTTTTTAGAATGATAAAGTTTATAGAAATTTTTTAAAAAAATTAATTAACATAATATAATTATGAGTATTTAAAACACGTGTTGTATTCATAATAAAGAAATAAATATTTTAAATTAGTTAAAATGAAAAAAAATCTATAAAAATATTGGGTATTTATTATTATAAAGTGAAACGTTGTATGACTATTTAAGAAACATAATGGTTATATAATGTTAGAAAGTAAAGGAATTTATATACATTTAAAATAAAAATAATAATTTAATATAAACATTATTATGCACCCATGGCATGGCGTGCATGTGTCGTAGAAAGTTTAATAAAAAAATATTGACCATTGAACAAAATAATAATAATTTTTTTAAATCAAAGTGTTTCTAATTAATAATAAATAAAAGAGAAATTTATCTAAATAGGACTAAAACATAATGACTTTTCCAATATAGGA